GGAGAGGAGGCATAGATTTGCAGGCTTTCAAAGAAGAAAATTGAAACAATACCAAAAGTCTTCTTTCTGAATGAAGTTCAAAGGCATCCAGAGAGACCATAAATAAGATTGAAAAACATTATATTTTATTAAGGAATGAAAGCAGTAGTAGTTGAAAAGCAATTAATAACTCATATATTGGGTCATTACAACAAACACACGTAGGAGCAAGAAGACACAAAAGCAGCAGCCAGTAGTAGCATTGCTTATTCAATCCTAGAACCAATCCTTGATAATATATTAAATACGATATGCTCCATCTGCAGATTGTGTATTGCTTAATCGTTGCAGCAGCGGTACATGATGAACTTTTCCATGGGACGGCCGCATTCAGCACAAACCACCTTCTCCGGGATTGTCCCCGTTGTACCTGGAAGTACCAGACGGTTGCAATGATGTGGGGTATGAACTTCTCTCAGATGATCATTCAGTGCAGGCACAAAACCCCTTTCCCGCACATATGACTTCCATGATTCGTAATCTATAAAACTTTGCACAACGGTTTCACCCTTGGCCTTGGCCATGACATTCCCCTCACTAAACACAGCCCATCCTTGTTCACTCCCGTCAAAACTAAGCATTGTCACTATCTCCTGCATTATAGGATCGTTTTCCACACTCTTCCCATGTTGCATTTTAGAGTGCCACATACTCTCTAACCGCACCCAGAAGAACCACACCAGTGCCAAGTCTTGCAATGTGTTACTAAGCTTCTCCACAGTAATGGTACTGATGTTTCTCCTAACTTTCTCTTTGGGGTTGCTCTTCCCCACGTATAGCATCTCTAGTTGAATATTTGCAGCTTGTGCAACTGCCTGTGCCATTGCTGTGAATTTCCTGATCCATTCTATGTCTTCTCCACCATACAAGCATATGCACTTTTCCTCTGCTATCTGAAATTGGCCCCCAAAACATATAATTATTCAGCCCAATAAATTAAGTGTAAATTTATAAAAGATGTAGAAAGTATAGATACCCAAACTGCGATGGCTGCATCCACAGAGTCTGCTAACAACTCAAGTCTCCAAGATTCTTCCTTCCAAAGAGCTTCCTCCCTAGCGCTAGTAAAAGGGAATGCAAGGCTTCCCCAAATCCATAGCATGTGGAGGGCATTGTTGTTGACCACTTTGCCTTGTGGATCCAGCACAACAAGAATAGGCTTCTTGTTGAACTGCCACACTTCCTTGATGTATTTGATCACAGCCGGGTCAATCATTGTGTGGTTATACACAGAGTACCATGGCATTTGATTCTGGAGAGTCTCAAATTTTTCTTGCTTTTGCTCGGTCAATGGAGTTGACCTATCCACAACTGGGATCCACACAACCTCGTACTGACTTTCTGTCCTTGATGGATGCTGACGTGACTCTTGATACATTTGCTCTAACATGAATATCTCCTCAGTGGACACATCCAGGTCTGAAATCAGTAGAAGAACATTTTTCCTCCTCAACACTTCGATGTTAGCCTGTTTACGTCATAATGAAGTACATATTATTTCGATTCTCCTCAATCTTGATATATAATTCGTTTACTTAAAATAAAAAGAAATTAGCAAACCCTTCTCTTGGTTGCACCCTCGAGGAGCGGCAGTTGATCGTCCTTGGTATAAATCAGTGCCCTCAGAACCTTCATGTTGTCCATGTGCGGTGATTCCATCAGTCGCACAAGTGTTTGATATGCTTCAATATGCCTTTTCTCGTCTGCATTTCATTCACTCTAAAATTATTAGTAACCTCTTCACATATATAATCAAAATAAATAAATGGAAATTGTTTACTTCCTTTCCATAATATTTGAAGTGGAAAGACTCACCAATGAGTTGATAACAGAGATTGAGCTGCTTCTTAAGATGGGTGTGTATGCTGCCGACTTTGTGGGCTAAGCTTGATAGTTCCCATGCCTCAGTTGTTGATGTTATGAACCTGATAACAGCCAAGAGAATCGGCAGTAAAAATTGGGCTGCTTTAATTTTATGATTATACTGAGAGCAAACGTGGAATGATAATGATCAGCAGAAACATACTCGAAACCCATGCCAACGAGGCCCATAATTTGTGAAGCACAAGCGACAATGCTGCGGATGGTCCAGTAAACGGCAGTAGGAATGTGGGCTGTGGCAGTTAACATTGCTGGTGTGTCAGGGCTAATGTACTGAGATGGAAGCTCTTTGAATTCAACAATGCATTTGGTAACATCTAGCATGGCCTTGATGAGGTTGCTAAGTGCCTCAAACTTTGGTTTCAAGGAGTCAACGCGTTCTAGTATCTCTGGCAGTTGCTTGAGGAGTGCAACCGATTTGGCAAGTGAGTTGGTCGGGTAAAGTTGTGCCACCACCCAGAATTCCCCGTAGTTCAAAGCAAATGCAGCCAAGGCTAGCACCACTTTAGCATCCCACGCATAGCTTGTAAGAATGTTGAATATTCCCAACGTTGTTGCGTGTGCATCTCCACCAACAGAACATTTGCAGGATATCTATATAATCAATGAATAAATTAGTTTCTGTTGGTTTCCAAGCTAATTTCTGAAATGGTAGTAGTAGTGCCATCTCCATCGATGTGAAAGTGGGTAAAGACTAAAAACTTGAAATAGATAAATTTTCAACACAATGAAGAATAGGTGATGTTTGGAAACCTCGCAGGAAATTTTATTGATGGTCATTGACAACAGATCGAGCATGTCGAAAAAGTCAGCTTGGAAAGCCTTATCATCCAACACATCCAGTTGTGCTTGTGTTCCCTGCATAGTCATAAAATTGATCAGCGACGCCGTGAATGTGGAATATTAATAGCAAATCAAATGCTAGAGACAAGATTTATACCATATCAAAGCCAGGGACACTGGGGGTGGCACGTCGGAAGATGTCCTCAATGATGTAAAGAAGAGGTTTGACAGCAAATTCACGGCCATCAGGAGCATGAGTGGCCTGGACTTGCTTCATCATTGCATTGTCATCTGAGGTTGAGAACATATGGCGTTCCCTGAGTTGCATTCTGTGCGGTACAATCTCCATTGAATTGCTAAGATGTTTTAGATGATGGATAATAGAGGAAGGGATGAGAGAAAGGCTTTGGTCTGCATTTGGTTTACCTCTCTAAGTCGTATATATAGTTCAGTAAATGGAATAAAGGCTCATTGGATGTGCTACCTTACTTCCAATTTGGTTTTAAACATAAAGTACGACCAAAGGATTAAAATTCCGGATGAGATTAAGCAATGGTCCAGTTAACTATATCTTCTACCTTTACTGTATGAAAGGTTAGTCCTGAGAATCCTACACCAGAAACGTTACCTAACTTTAATCCATACACAACACATGTTACATTATTATATATGGTGTTAAATAAAAATATATTACAATAATGAATAGACGCTTGTTTTTATAATTAATATTTTCAGGTTTTTTTTATATTAAATTGTGGTATAAATAAATATATTATATATTATATATTACATATATACTTTCCCTTTAGCTGGAGGCAATTTCTTACTTCTCTTGAATGTCAATTAACTTGAATCCATGCAGATAACACGTCCTTCGTTATTGCCAATTTCCTTGTTAAAATGTATATGGCTCTTTTTGCTTTTTCTCACCTTTTCTTTTTTCGTTTTCTTCTTCCAAAAGATTGCCCCTGGAATGCTGCTTCAGGATTCCAAGTAGAGTTAAGAGGGTGGAATTAACACCTCATTAAAATACGCTAAAAAGCAATTAAATATACTGCTTTGAACCTGTGAGATTTATAGGTATCCTTCTCTTGCTTTCATGTCTATAACTATGATAATAACACAGTTTGTGTAATACAGAGAATGGTAGCAAAACCTGATTTTAGAAGGACAAGTGCTAAATCTGACATTCCAATTTTGTGACATAAGCAACCATGCATCATTAAAGCAAAAAAAAAAAAAAAAAAAAAAAAAAAAAGAAAAGCTAGCAGAATAATAATTGATGAGATGCAAAATGTTTTGTTCATTCTTCATGTTACTTTTTAAGCTTTGTACTGCTTCCTTCCTTGCACCAGAGGTTTCTAATAATCCGAACCAGGCAATATGAAGAATAGTGTCCAAAAGGTTGTGGAAAAATCTTAAAGACTGTGAAGGAAGATCTGTTGGGGTCTACCAGCAGCTTAACTGCATAGGAAATTTTGGAAACGTTATTCATGGCCTAACCATGGGACCCCATAAGTTACCTTATTAAAGCCTGCAAATGGAATTCTCTTCTTTGCTTAAAGTGAAGAATTGAAGCATTAGCTTCATTGTCCATTTGTCTCTTGCCCAACAAAGTAAAAGCTTGATCAAATCAGAGACCTTGACTACTTCTCTTAACATTTGAGCATCAAGTACTTGCCTAAAAACTATGTTTCCAATATGTGAGAAAGACATCAAGATGATATCCCTCTGTCTTTCTTACCCTTGTTAAAATACAGTAATAATGATGATGACCTTCAAGGTTTCAGAACTCCATGGAGCTGAAAAATTCGGGATTTTATGGCGTTGGGCTCTACAAAAAGTTGGGAAATCAAAAGGCTGCAACTTAACGAAGCTTGTTGCATCATCCCTTTTCTCAAAAACTTGTAAAACCATCTGATACTGATTTGGGTTTTATGGATTATAATCAATGTAAATCTATCTCAGATTATTTACAACTTGTCGTTTGAATGTTAAATGATTGCAACAATGGCTTTTCATTTATGCTTTTAATCTATGCCACACTTCTTAATAGTTCACTGACGATTGGCGTCCATAATACTGATTTAGAAATGACTCGTCCTTGATATCTGTGTAACAAAGGTTTTTCAGTCTACAAACTACTTGTTTATAAGATGATTTTTTTTTTTTTCGAATGTAATTTATAGGAGATATTTATAATTATTAATTCTATTTCAGTAAATAAGATACCAAGATTTCATTTTGTTAAAATAATCACAAACTGCAAGTACATATATTTTATTTGCCAGGGAACAGTTATTTTTATTTTTAGTATTACCTTCAACTCAGAGCAGAACACTCAAATTACAAATCATTCATACACTACAAACTTTTTAAAGAGGCGCTTACAATTTTGGCATACAACAATTGACCCATCACCATCAGCATAAGGAATGAGCTTAGAGTGACTACAATGAGCAGTAAGATCTGGCGGTTCAACAACATATATAATTGCATCAATGAGTCCCAATGTTGCCACATTTTCTCCCCAGTCTGGAAACCGGTTCAAGTACTCCATCAGCTTACTTCCTTGAACCCATATAATTTCTGATGATAAACCTTTACCTATTACAGCCCAACCATTGTCTCCGTTGTCTGTAGTCAGTAATGCTGACACCTCTCTTAGAATATGATCGTCATCAGCCATCTTTCCTAGTCGGAGTTTTGATCTTCTCACACTCTCCAACCGGAACCAAAAGAATTGTATTTTTGTGAAAGAGAGAACGAAATTAGTATGCATTTCTTCATTGATGACAGTTAAAATGTTTCTCACTTGTTCACTTGGGTTCTTCTTACCAACATACACCACATCGAGTTGCAAGCCATTACCCTTAATTTCATTTATTTTAGCACTGAATTTTCTAATCCAATGTAAGTTGTCACTTCCATAAAGGCAAATATTCCTGCCTTCTTCAACCTGACATAAAGGAATTAGTAATTAGAAGTAAAAAGTAATTGAATTTGAAGTATTTGTAATGAGTGATGATGCTTCTTAACTGTGAAGTCATGTGTCTTACCCATTTAGCCAATTGTGGATCAATTTCATCAATCATAAGTTGCAGAGTCCAATTCTCCTTTTCCCAGAGTTGAATTTCTTTTGAAACTGAAAATGGATAACCCCTGGCGCCCCATATCAATACCATATCAAGTGCATTTGAGTGTGTTACCATCCCTTTTGAATCCAACACTACCATGATGGGTTCATCCTTGAACTTCCACTCTTGTTTTATGAACTTTACCACTGCTGAATCAAGTGATTGCGGCTGCCAAACCGAAAACCATGGCAAATAGTTCGATAAAAGATCAAAACTTTCCTTTTCAGCATTAGTCCATGTATCCGAAAATGAGATGGGAACCCATACAATTTCATAACTTCCCTCTAAATTCTTGCTGTGTGGATGATCATATGTTTGGTGAACCAACAAAAATAGTTCCTCCAATGGAAGGAGCTCTGGTTTTGATACCAAAAGAATGACTACTTTGTCTTTCAGTTCAGATACACCTAGCTGTCAATTAAAATAAATGAAGCCAAATAGTTTAAAATCTGAAGAGGCTTATACAATGGTTCTTTTGGTAGTTTAAGTCATGTGATCTTTCAATTAAAATAAAGGAAACAGAGCAACAACTTAACATTTACTGAATTCTAAAGTTTTTATTCTATATAGTTGGATACTATTTGAAGGTGTGCTGTGATTAAAATCTCTAAAATTATGGCTGAACAAAAGAAAAAGGAAAAAAAAGAATAAGTACCTTTGCTTGTGTTGGGCAATTCTTGAGTGGTAAGTCATTCTTTAAAGCAAATAACAGTCCAAGCACCTCTTGGTTGTCTGTGTGGGACTCCTTGTCCTTGAAAGTATCTATAAGCTTCTGATACATCTTCATCTCTGCAAATTTTATGAAAAGAAAAAAAATATGCACAATTCAAATTTCATGTAAAAGTGAACTCCTATTGAATTACTCAAAAGTACATAAACAAGAACCTATATCTCGATGACATTCATCCACTTGCCGTCTGAGGTGACTGTAGATCCCGCTCAACCTATATACCAAACTTGAGAGCTCCCAAGCTGCAATTGTTGAATTTGAATACCTGAAGAATAATCAATACATGATATGAGCATCAAACAAATGAATTAGATCATCAAACACTAAATAATTCTTTGAAGGCTAAATATCTTGATAGAATATCCTAAACAAAATTAAGAAGATCAGAATATTAGTAGGGATAATTGAAGGGAAAGAACATGCACTTGCTCAGGCTTCATGGCAATCAAGTCTTTGATACTAGAAGAACAGACCAATGTGCTTCTAGTGATCCAGTAAGCAGCAAAGAAAATCTGAGACTTTGTAGCGGAAATAATCTGAAAATCTGGTATTACATGAGCAACCGGCAGGCCTTCAAACTTAATTATACACCTGGTCACATCAATCATCGTCTTAACCAACAAACTTAATGCTTTAAATCGAGGCTTCAACTTGCTGATGCTGCTTGGCCATTGTTTGAGCATTGCAACCGATACCGCCAAAGGATTTTCCGGGTATAGCTGCATTGTGAGCCAGAATTCACCATAGCTTGTTGCAAATGCTGCAAGTACTAAAACCACTTTTGCATCCCATCTATAATTCCCTAGCAAATCAAACATGACCATGGTCCTTGTATGAACATCTCCTTCCCCACAACACTTGCAGAGTATCTGGTATTACCAAAAATGTACTAAATTGATCATTTATGTAAATGCTTGATAATTGTTAGCAATAAAGAGGAAGAAAGATTAGAAACCTCGCGAGATATTTTGTAAATGGTGTATCCCAGCGGTTCTTGTGACCCAACAATTTCAATAATGCTTTCATTATCCATTGCAAAGGCATCGCTATGAATATCAGAAACCTGAAAATTCATTTAAAAATTTAATGCTGTTAATGACGAAATTGCAGACTAATACAAAAGGAACCTTTAAAAACATCTTTTATATTCATCAATTGGTCAGAATAAGCAGGGAGTTACTAGCACTTCTGATGTAGTAGCAAAGCACATGATATTCTCGGTGACTCGAAGCAATTGCTCGGATTCAAGACGGCGACCATCAAGGTCATGGGTAAGAAGGAGTTTCTTTATGAGAACGTCTCCTTCTAGAGACGATGCTGAACGTGGCCGCCATTGATGGCTTATGACTGAGTTCATAGTGAATGAGATAGTGAGACTAAGGCAAAGTAATGCATGGTCTGAGGTTTTCTATGAACTCATCTAGTTAACATACTACGTTATTTATGAGACTTTGCTTGGCCCGGCAACAACGTTACTATTTGCCCGCATCTGATTCTTTTTGTCTGACACTTAACTGTGTGCTTTTACGATTTTATTAATCTGAAAGAACTTATTTTGTAACTAATTTTTATGACAAGACCTTCAAAAGAAGAGGATTTTCCAGCTTTTTCAACTGTAGGCTAGAATCAGTCAATTCAAAGCCTTGTGTTTTGCACTTTTTCTGGAGAAGTGAATGTAGTAATTAGTAAAATATATTTTCTTTTGACCCCAAAATATTCATTAAGAGTTTTCATGAAAACGTGTGGGCAGTGAAACATCTAAAAGAAGACATCAAAATGATCATATCTGCTCAAGATTAGCCACATAATTATTAAAAAAACATTCTAATATATGATATGGTCCATCCCAAATTTAGAATTTCTTCAATTAAGTATACCCACTATAGTTTGATCTTTGAAGTAAATTGAAAGACAGACTCCAGAATCTATAGAAAAAGATAAAAGTGTTTAACATTATTCGAGCGGGAGGAAAAGAAAAGGTTGCATATTCACAGAGAAGGCACATAAAATTGAGCAACCTGTAAAGCATCTGCAACTGGGTGCGCTCACCTTACAAACTGGCTTGAATCTGGAACTGCGTGCTCTTAATTGCTTGAGCGGCGCTTGGGGTTTGGACTTTTATAGGTGTGTTTGTGAGGAACCAGGTTATAAGATTTAAAATCTAAGTTGATTTATTTATTTATAATTTTTTTTTTTTTGTCTTAAAAGCTAAGCTTATAAGCCAAAAAAAATTAAGTGAAAAACCTTCTTCTCTTTTTTTGTTTTTTTTGTTTTTTTTTTTTTGTTTTGTGGCTTATATAAATTATTTTGATCAAATATTTTACCATATTATTTTTATTTAATTCTTTATATTTGTTTAGTAGTTTATTTTGTATAAAGAATCTAAAAATTGTTCATATAATTTTTTAATAAAATATTTGTCTATAAAGTATTTGTGTATTTAATTCTAAAATTAAATTATATTGTAATATGATCGAATTATATTTTGATAATATTATAGTAAAAAATTGAATTAATATAATTTATTATTTGATAAAATAATGTAATATCATTTTTAATCATTTTAATAACAAAATGTATTTATAAGCCAGATTTTACCAAACGCGTCAACTACTTATCAATCACTTTAAATATTTTAACTAAACACGTAACTACTTAAATTTTGAATGCTTATAAACTAATTTTCATAAGTTCAGCAAAATAGACTCTAAGAATGGAACGTCTTTTCCTGCTTATTTAAGACATTGGGTAACATCCTCTTCTTTTTTCTTTTCTTTCCCTTTATCTTTATCTTTTGATGGAGAATATATAACTTTATTTTATTTTTCTTAATTCCTACAATTATTAGTTAAATTTAGATGATTAACCATGAATTATGATTTAAGGCAGGATTAATAGACAAGAGAGAAAATTCCAAAACAAAAAAGTAAACCAACTTCATATATATATATATATATATGTGTGTGTGTGTGTGTGTGTGTGTGTTGTATTTTACAAGTATCAAATTCACCTTAAACACTTCAAATATAAAATAATTTGTTAATAATCTAATGTTCCAAATATCAAGTCATTTCAACTTCAAGTTTGACGTATATAATTTCAAGTTTTATGTTATAAGTTTCAATTATAATCTTGTTGATGCTCAGTTTAAGCACCAACGAATTTTCACATGTGTAACGCTGATTGGCTCTTCAATACACCTGAAAGTGAAATGTATAAAGCGAAATAGATATGAAGGGAGTTTTTTAAGTGGTTCGGATGCTAAGGTAGCAAGTCCTACGTCCACTGATTTGTATTGATGTTAGTGTGTGTCAGGTCGCGGCTGCGAGCTGACTTACATAAGATAAAGTTAAAAATATGATTACAGGAGAGAGAGAGAGTTCTTTCTTATAAGAAGCGGCCGAATCCCCTTGATGAAGGGGTCTTCCCTATTTTATACTAAACTGAAGCATATAATCATCACTAAATCCATGGTTTGGTGTGATTGTCAGGATGTAATCCGGCTTTACGTCGCATTTTCCTTTTCCCAAGCTGACAACGCACGACTTATTGCAGGGAAACGGACGCGTGTGAGCTCCATATCACTTGGCAGGTCTGACGTGTGCGCGTTGCTCTGACGGGAGCAGGTCACCCTTCACGTGACTTTCCCACGTCAGCCCTTTATTTTCTTGGGCATAAAAAATCTATAGGTTTTAAATAGACTTTAAATGTTTTAAAAACCAACCCGTGGCTAAACCTGGAAAAGTAGTCGAGTCCCTATTTGATCAGCGAGTCAAACCAATGACGTCAACATAAAAAAAATCAAAATTTTTTATTTTTGGCGCACATTTTCATGCATTGATGTCGACCTTCTTTCTCCTTTTTTCTCACCCAAAATCAACCCCATCTCCAACACTGAAACCCCGCCCTCTCTTCTTCAAAACCATACCTTTTATCCCCTCTCATCACTCATCGATCACCGACCATGGAAACCGCGTCGATCGGCTATCCTTTGCCAGAATCTGGCCATTTTGAGCGTTGACAACTCAAACCATCACCACCCTTAGACTCATTGGCTACTCTGCTACAAAACCCCCAAAGTTCCCAAGTCATTCCACCCACCAATCGTCGACAATCAGAAACTAGGGTTTTGCCGTTTCTTGGCCAAATTCTGACAACTAAAACTTAATCAAACACCACCTCCTGACTCACCATGATCCACCCTTCAAAACCCCTTAACCTCGATTCATGTTTGCCAGTAGAACACTATAAAATTTAAGTTGAATTTGATCATATTAAAAGCTATAAAATTGTTTTTAATTTTTACAAACACTAACAAAAAAGCGAACATGTTCACTTATAAATTTTCGAAATAATCAAATATGTCTGAGTTAAGAAAAATGTTATTGAATATATCATTTCTTAATTTATATAAACCAGACAACCATAAAAGTTGATGATTTCGTGCCCACTAAAAATATGATCAACCATTTATTTGCAACTACCAGGCACGAAATTAGTGTCAGGTCCTTCAGATTTCAAGTTATATATTATAAGTTTCATGTCTTATATTGCTGATTTCATGTATGATATTTTAGTTTTCAAGTATATATTATTTATAGTTTTCAAATTAACGTTAAAAGTTTCAAGTTATAACATTACCACTTTCAAACATAACATCGTTAGTATGAAGTCCCTGTAATCTTAAATTGAATGTTAATAATTTCAAGTTTTATGTTATAAGTTTCAACTAAATTGTTTTTTGTTTCAAGTATTTTTTATAGTTTCAAATCTAAAGTTTTGGTACCACATTATTTTTATTTCAAGTTTAGTGTTACTAGTTGCAGTTTTTATATTATGATTTTCTTGTTTTATTTATACGTTTAAATCTCAAGTTAAATGTTTCAAATTTATTGTTATTGGTACTCGATCTTATTGGTTTCAAATACAATATTATTTGTTTCATATTTTATCTATCGTTTTCAATTAAATTATTTCAAGTTTCAAGTCTATTTTCTAAATATACTCACAAAAGAATTTTTGACACCAATTCTCATAGCTTTAAAAACTAATAATTATCAGCTCTCAACATAGAGTCATGGACTCGATATATATACATTTGATAATAGTACTATTTGATTTATTAGTAATTATTAATTTTATATTCAAATAAAAAAATAAATTTCATTTGAAATTATAAGTAAACATTTATTAATAAAAATTATACATGTTTTACCAATACGTTAATTAAATTTTAACAGTCTCATATGATGCAATGATATAGAATATAAATATATTATGTTATTTGTTATTTGGATGCCATTGATTGAAGTTAAATATACAGTAAAACCTTGTTTTATAGTTATAATGGTGGGACAAATTAATTTTATTATTATGAGGAGGTTATAATTTAATAGAGGTGTAGTTACAAAAATTATTTTTTTAATTTAATTAGTTTATAATTCATGTTTTTGTAGTATGTATTAGGATTTTAATTAATTGTTTTAATAGTCATTGCTGTAATTAAACAAAGAGAGAAAGTAAAAAATCTTGAGAATGATAATATGAAAATACAATATGCTTGAAAAGCTATAAATATTTTAGTTTCAACAAGAAAGTGTTCATGTTAGCAAGCTATTATGTATCTAAAAATTAAAAAATGTGATAATAACTCTAAAGTATAAATTATTGTCCCAAACAATTTTATATAAATATTTTATTTCATATTAAACCTTTAATATAACACAACATAATTTTTTTTTACAATATATAGATAATTATTACAATGTGGAGACAACTTTCTTAAGACATGAATTAGAAAAATTATAACTTATTATAATGTGAAGTTTATTCTTATTTATAACAATCCCAAATTGAGAATATAAATTTTTATGACTATATAGATGTTATTTTTATATAGAGGTTTTGCTGTATATCTTTTGAAAATAAATTGACTTTGTCCACCTTGGGATGTTATAATTTTCAAGTTAGCCAGTTATGGCCTGTTAGTAATTATTAGTTTAAAACAAATTTATTGCATTTTATAAAGTTTATTTTTTAAATTATTACGCTTTTTAAATGTTATCACTTATCAGTACTTATGTATATATGGTAAATTCAATTACACTGTTACAAACATGATAACCAAATTGACATATTTTAATTCATAAAATAGTTTTATAATAAACTATAACAATTATTAACTTAATTTAATTAAATAAAATATTTATATAAATAAATTTTACAATTTTTGTGATGCTAGTTCAACAACTTCACTAATTGAATTCTACTCTTAAGTTTTTTCGTACCCGAAGTCTGTATCTATATGATTGATATTCAAATCCTTCTTTCTTTTAAACTTGTTTAATTGGTCGCAAGTTTCTATT